AAGTACACAAGACTGAAAGTCTTTCGAGGAGTTTTTGAGAATTTTTAGTCCCTGACACATAAAATTGCTCGAAAAACAAGAAGTGGCTAGAAAATATTCTAAGTCCACAAATTTGATTGAGCTCTAAATTCCCTCCACATTTGCTTGAAAAACAGGAATGAGTAGAGAAAATATTTCAAGTCTATGAAACCAAGAAAGAGCTCTTAGTCCCCTCAGACTTAGTCAAAAAATAGAAACCAAAAGAGAAATTACTCCAAGTCCACAAAGCCAAATGAGTTTATTTGATTTCTCCCAGAACTGCTCAAAAAACAGAAAAGTCCGGAAGAGTCATGATAGGACTTGAAAGGTTAACGTAAAGGTCAAAATTGGTTACCAGCAGTTACTATCAGATGAAGATCCAACAACATGAAAAAAGATCATGGGCAATAGTAATTACAGAAAGAGCCTTAACTGCCAGCACGATCACAAGCAAATATGGATAATGGGCAGCAGCAGTTGGAAGTAAGCACGCACAGAAGACAATTACTAAGAAAGTGCCCGCAAAAGAAGGTGGACGGTGGTGATCCGCATGCCTATAAATACTCTAAAGCTTCATTTTTCAGGGGACGACTTTTTGCACCAAGATATCGCATGTAAAATTTTCTAAACACTGAAAATCCTGCACCATGCCAGACATCAGCTACAAGGAGATATACGATTGTTGCTTGTCATTGCTAAGAGTCGTACATTTATTTTCTTGCATTATTTACATTCCTGCATTTACTTTTAATTTGCTTTACTTTTCTTTTCGTTCCTATAATTTCAGTTCTTGTTTAAGCACGTTTTTGTGAAAACCTTTACGCTGTAATTTAGTTCTACATTATCATTGTTCACTATTCCTGTTTAAAAATTTATTTCACGACATCCAATTTAATCACAACACACTTAAAAGAACTCAAGAGGACTTAAATCCACTCCCCAGATTACTCTTAGATTATTTGTTTACAAACTGTCATTTTTCACTGTAAACACTTACTAAATTTGCAACCCGTCCAACGTATTACCTACCAAACTGAAGAGAAAATTTGAATGGAAGTTAAATTCTTATCAATCAAATTGCCTCAATTTTGGATTTTAGAACTCAAAATCGCCCGTTGCCCAACCCTAGATGGTAATAGGGATCAATACAAATTTTAATACTAAATAGAAACTATGTAACTATTATGTGAACAATGTTATGAATTATGAGGGTATTATGACAAAATTAAATGTCAAAACTATTTCAACATTTGTCTCACACGTAAGAAACATATACATATTTTAACCTATAAAATAACTTATTTGACCAATGAGATACCTAAGTTGATCCTGCTGAATAATCTTCTTCCTTTTTAATTACGCGACTACATTTCATGACCAACCATAAGGCTATTTAAAAATTTAGAAAGCTAAGGAAACACCTCAACTTCTCTATACATAATAGAAACTAACAAGCATGCCCATTTTTAAAAGAGGAAAACGAGAAGGACACAAATGGCTTTCCACAACAAAATCACCTCTACTCCAGTTACAAATGACAAAAATCAAATTTATTAACTAGTCAAGATTTGCAAGTATCTTTACTTTCACTTTTCAGTACCAATAATGTAACGTGAAAAATAAATAATGATGAAACAATGCCTAAACATTAAAGAGGCAAAAACGCATCTCAACTAAAATTTTGAGAGTCATTAAAGGAACATAAATCTAATTTGTCACCTCAAATCAAAACAAAAAGACACTCACTCTATCCAAGCAAGAATATATATATATATATATATATATATATATATAGGCGAGATTTTCTTATACCGGTGTAAGTCTAAAAACTCTTATATCCAATTTGAATCTTTCATTTAACTTAAATCTAACAGGTTATAATTTATTGTTTTACTGGATGTTAGATTTAAATTAAATGAAAGGCTCAGATAAGGTTTAAGTTCTTAAACTTACACTGATGTAAGAAGATCATTCTTCATATATAAAAGTATATTTTATTTACTAAGTAAACATAAAACTATATAATTTTTAAGCTATATCATGTATTATATTTTATTTTTATCTAATTAAATTTATGTCTATGTATTATAGATAATGTTTTTATTTTTACATCAAAATCAACAAAGAATCGTTAATATTGACATACCAAATATTATTCATTTTATAGATTCATTTAAGTATACAAATTATATTAATTTTTCTTAATAATACTTTTAATTTTCTTTTTAAACTAAATTTTTAATTGTTCGTTATCATTTTAATATTGAGATTTAAATTATATACATATTATTGAAAGTATTGATATTATAACATCTACAGTTATTTCTAAGAATGATAATTCAAAAAATCTATATAAAATTTTGATTATAATAAAATCAAATAGTAATATGGTAATTTATTTTTATTTTTTATTTTATTTTTGTTCATTCTTTAACTAAAATCATTTTTTAATTAAATTTTAGGAGTGATGTTGTTTGTTTTTAAATGATACATTAAAGTTTATAAATTTAAATTTTCAAATTAAAAATAATTACTTATAATAATTAAAATAAATTAAATAGTATTAAATATCATAATAATAAAAATTTAATACATAAATTTGTTATTACAATTTTATAATAATTTTTGAATTTGCATATTTAATTTTTTATATTATAATAAATAAATAAATTATAATTTTAAATCTAAATTAAGTTTTGAACGTTTTATATATATATATATAATTTGTTTCAAAAGTGAATCAAAGCTATTCAACTTTTCAATTTTTTTTTTGACGTTTTAAACATTTTTTTATAATAATAGAAAAATTTATAATTAAATAAAGACACGAATTAATTTTTAAAATATTATAAACATATTTTTTTAATACTTTCAATAATAATATTTTAAACCATATTTATTTATTTATTAATATTTTATATTTTAAATATATGATTATTGAAAGTTTTCATAATAAAATTAAATTTTGAACACTTTTTAAAAAATTTTAAAATATTTAATCAAGTTATGTTATGGACTTACGATTTATTCCTAAGTTATGAACTAAATTATATGTAAAATAAAAATTAAAATAGTATATATTTTTATATTGATATAATTATTTATGATATCATATTATTAAAATTAATACATATGTAAAAGTTAAAATATTAAATTAGAATAACTAATTATTAGTATTTTTTTTTTATTATAAGTAAAGTTTAAATATGTCATTTTAAAATCATAGATTAATAATTTTATATAATTTATTAAATAAATTTATGTTAATATTTGTTTCAATTTGTTTGAGAAATAAAAATTAAATTTCATTTAAATGAATATTACTTTTGTATAATACTAAATTTTATTATTTATTGAAAAATATTTTTTATTATATTTCTACCCATTAGTAAATACTTTTTTTTATCTATTTTTATTGTAATTATTTTTATTTTTATTTTTAAATATTTAATAAAATAATAAATTTACATTACTTATATTTAAAAATAATTAAAAATTTACTCTTTAGTTTCACTTCAACAGTCCTTTCAATTTATTTTTAAAAATTTATTTTTTATGTTTATTCTAACTAAAAAAATAAAAATTCTTATCATTGAAAAGGATAAAAAAAATATAAAATATATTAAAAAATTATATATAAGAAAGTATTTATTATTTTTTCAATGTAATTATATTTAATATAATAAAACTTTATTATTACATATTTTTATATTAAAATTATTATTTAATAAAGATTTTAAACAAATATATATAACGCACAAATATATTTACTAGGTGATCAATAAAATTGTGACTTTTTTAATAATAATATGTCGTCGTATTAAATATTTGCTTCATCAATTTTTTCCTATTTTCAGTTTAATCCCTATAAATTAGATACTAATTTTTTCAAAATAATCCTCTTTAATGTATATATCTAAGCTTTTGTGTCAGTTTACTACTCTCTTGTTTGAACCCAACATGCATAAGCTAAACATAATTTCCAAGAGCAAGATTTAATTTTTGCTCATTCAAATAAAATAAAAAGAATAAAATTCACATCAACAAAGAGTGATTAAAGATATTTTTTAGTGTCGTAAAAAAGATTCTAAAAATTAAAACGCATTTGGGGAGGGGAGGGGGTGGCGAAGTGTTGGCGGCAACTTGAAAGTACATAAAACAGTTTGCAATGGTACGGGTCTTGTTTCAGACCAGGGTTTCCACGGTCGAGAACATCAACGTTGTAGTGGTTAGATCTTAATGATGGTGGTGTTTTTAGGAGTGAAAGGCTTGTAAAGGCTTTTGTCCCCGTGGAAGAGATGATTAGTGGTGATAGGTGACGTGTGTGCGACAGAGATCGATTGCGATTTTGGTTCACAGTGGAGAAACAAGGATGCCATTGTTGATGTTGCATGATGGTTCCTACGAGGCAAAGGCTTAGTTAGCGATTCTTGACAGTAAGGGAGGTTCGAGACAATGCTAATAGTTAAGGCAAGTCTACGGGAATGCGTGGTAGGAACTCGATAGTTACTGAATGGTTTCTTGAGCTTCTTGTAGGATTTATTTGCAATTTTAAAAACACAGATCATCAAAATAAAATTAAAATAGATCATTAAAATAAAATTCCAATTCATTTATGATGTAATTATATTTTATACACGTGCTATTAATTAAGCTAGGGAGTACTGTAACCCGCTGAGGGTTACCAAAGCAATGCCCCGCTAAGATAAGAAAAACTCAAAATAAGAGAAAGTCAAAGGGCGAAAAGAGTGGAACGAATTAGCGATACACGAGGCGCACCAGAGATGGACTATGGCGGAGAGGAAACTTTGGAAAAACGAAGCAATTATGGAGGAAAACGGTTGGAACGATGGCATATAAAAGGAGAGGGTATTGGGTTCAAATGAAAAGCAGAAGAAGAAAGCAATAAAAACCATCTTCTTCCAAATAAAGGAAGGAGATTGGAAAGGGTTGAATAAAGGGAAAAAAAAAATCTTGACGAAATGGGAAAAGGGTCATCGATGATCGCGTTGATGCTGTGCCTTATGGCAGCTGCAGTAATGGGTGAAGACCCCTACATCTACTACACATGGAACGTGACCTACGGCACAATTTCCCCATTGGGTGTTCCCCAACAGGGCATTCTCATCAACGGTCAGTTCCCAGGTCCCGAAATTAACTGCACAAGCAACAACAACATCGTTGTCAATGTCTTCAACAACCTCGACGAGCCCCTCCTCTTCACATGGAGCGGTATCCAACAGAGGAAAAACTCGTGGCAAGAGGGCACATTGGGTACCCAATGCCCAATTGCCCCTGGCACGAACTACACTTACCACTTCCAAGTGAAGGACCAAATTGGGAGCTACTTCTATTACCCAACCACTGGCTTACACCGTGCTGCCGGTGGAATCGGTGGGCTTAGAATCTATAGCCGTTTGTTGATCCCAGTCCCTTATGCTGACCCAGCCGATGAGTTCTGGGTCCTCATGGGTGATTGGTACGGCAAAGCCCACACCACTTTGAGGCAGTTTTTGGACAGTGGACGTAGCATTGGAAGGCCCGATGGAGTCCACATTAACGGCAAAAGCGGTGGGCTTGAACCACTCTACACAATGGAGCCCGGCAAGACCTACAAGTTCAGACTCTGCAACGTTGGGCTCAAGGACTCAATGAACTTCAGAATCCAAGGCCACCCAATGAAGCTCGTCGAAATGGAAGGGTCCCACACGGTTCAGAACGTCTACCAATCACTCGATGTCCACGTTGGACAGTGCATGTCTGTCCTCGTAACCGCTGACCAGGAACCAAAGGATTATTACATGGTGGCTTCCACGCGCTTCACCAAGAAGGTGCTGACCGCCACCCGTGTCATCCGTTACTCTAACGGTAACGGCGCTGCCTCCCCTGAACTCCCACCTGCTCCAGAAGGCTGGGCTTTGTCTCTTAACCAATTCCGTTCCTTCCATTGGAATCTCACTGCCAGCGCTGCAAGGCCCAACCCTCAGGGTTCCTACCACTACGGTCAGATTAACATCACCCGCACCATCAAGTTGGTTAATTCCGTCAGCAGGGCCAATGGAAAACTCCGTTATGGACTTAACGGCGTCTCCCACGTTGACCCAGAAACCCCACTCAAATTGGCTGAATACTTCGGCGTGAGCGACAAGGTTTTCAAGTACAACCTAATCTCCGATGAACCCTCTGCCATCTCTGGCGACCTCATCATTGCTCCTAATGTCATCAACGCCACCTTCCGTAACTACATTGAAATCATCTTCGAGAACCCCACCAAGGTTCCTCAATCTTACAACTTGGGTGGTTATTCTTTCTTCGCTGTCGCGTAAGTATCCCATCCATTAATTATTATTAATTATTAATTTATGAATTGAATTATATTAATTGTTGTGATTATTGTAGCATTGAGCCCGGGAAGTGGAACCCTGCGAAGAGAAGGAACTACAACCTTCTTGATGCAGTGAGCAGGCACACGATTCAGGTGTTTCCCAAGTCATGGGCAGCAATTATGTTGACATTCGACAACGCTGGAATGTGGAATTTGAGGTCGGAATTGGCTGAGAATCGTTACTTGGGACAACAATTGTACATCAGTGTTTTGTCTCCTGAACGTTCATTGAGGGATGAGTATAACCTTCCTGAGACTCAGACTCTTTGCGGCATCGTCAAGGATTTGCCCAAGCCTGCACCCTACACCATATAGAGTGTTTATCTCTTTCTATACTTCTGCGATCAGTGCCATGTTGCTCCCACCATTCACTCCCATCATATCTTGAGACTTCAGTTTCAGACAACTTTATTTTATTTCTGTCTTGTTTACTTGGTAGCTGATGTACAACCCTTTCCACTGCATTTTTATTTTCCATATCAATTTTATAAATATATACAAATTTCTCCTTCCATCTACTTATGCCTTCGCCTTCCTCTGTCCTTCTATTTTCTTTTTAACTTTTGATGCGATAATAATAATCATAATCATAATAACTCGAGCTACAATGTTTCGCAGTTAAGCCCTAAACGGTTGCTAAATTGTTTTTGTGTTAAAAAAAAAAGAAGGAAAATTCACAAATTAAAATTTCAATAGTGTCAAAATCACACTAAAAAAACTTGTACCATTTATTTTTTTAACGATGTAAAAATCTTGATATGGACTACCCATCATTGCAAATTACACAATCGAAATGGATACTACCAAAACCCACCTGTGATAAGTGTTCAACAACAATAGGGACCCGGATGCTCTCCTGTTGTAAACTGGACGTTCAGTAAGTTGATTTTGCATTTTCGTTGGACTGCCAATAGATAGATTCGATTACTAGTTGGCCTAAACCACGCTCCGATTATTTTGACATTAATTCTAATTATTCAGGATTTTATAAAATATACTAGTGATTAAGTAGCTAGCATGGAAATAATATATCAAGGGAAAAAAACCCATAAAACAAGTAAATAAAATATAGACCCTCATACATATATAGTGTTAAATAAATTATATGGGAGCTGGAGCCCAAAAATTAATAAATTTAGATACAGTTGATCAAGAATAATGAAGTATTCAAATGAAGAAAATGACGTATAAAAATAACATCAGTCAAACAAGAAAAAATTACTAGCATATTGAACATGACTTTTTATTTGACAGTTTTATTTTTGTAATAATAATAAATGTCATGCTTGAAAATAATTATAATTAAAAAAATGTTTTTTAATTAGTATTTTAAAATTTGTTTTTTAAATATTTAAACGTTAGAAAATATATTTCTAACATTTATCCTTTATATATGTAACTTGAGATCTATTAAAGAATGATTAATAATAATTCTTTCAGGAAAAAAAAAACAGAAATCGGACATCAAATATTTGAAAAATCCCTTTATAAACACAAAACACTAGCCGTATTGATCAGCACAACATGCCCAAAGCTCGAGGTTTTTCATTTTAAATATTTTGTTGAGCTAAATTACTAATAACGAATGCTTGAAAAAAATATAAAAAGATTCAAGAGGCAAGATAACAGTATTTATGTTTCACCTTTTATCTGCCGGGAGAAATTCATTTGAATTTAGACCTCAATTCATCTCAAGACTCTTATGCAAGTACAAAACTAACAAACAATTCACAGTTAGACGTAGTCAATCAAAAAAAATGGTGGAGGCTGTGGTAATTGTTTACGAACTAGAAATATTATAAGGGGTAGGTTCGTACTTTTATAAAGTACACAATAACGAATAGACATCTAACCTATAGTGAATAGAAGCTCATGGACGCTCAACCTACACTAAATGAATGGAAGTTCAAGGGCACTCAACCTACATAGACGAGTGTAACATGTGCTTTATGGGAGAATGAGTTTACTCCTATGTCTCAACATGTCTCATTTTTGTAAGAGGTTATTCAATGTTTCAAGATGTAGGCTATGTCTAAGAACAACCACTACCTCTTTTTTAGCTACCTCCTTTTCAAGGGTAAAAGGTCTCTACTAGAGTAAAGCGCGTCTAAAAGCTCTCCAAGCTAAATACTGCCCATCTCGTTTAATAGAGTGTTCTCTCAGCTTCGCTTGAGCATCATTCCTTTGTCTAAGCATACTAAGAAGCGTTCGTCCAAACACACTCCTTTGTGTTTGCATCATCCATCAATTATGAAGTTTCATCATTCATTTTCATGTCACGGCCTATGAACTTAAGGAGCACACTTGTGAGTAGAACACTTTCTGAAAGAAGTCCTTTGTGGAGTTCCTTTATCCTTCTTCCTTACTCCCTTGGGAAGGTTTTCTAAGACCTTGAAGTAACAAAAATGTTAAAAAGAAAAAAAAAATCCCTTAAACTTAGGAGAGAAAAATTCCCTTGTCTTTTATCCTTCTATCCTTTTCTCTTTTTATAATCTGTATTTTCTTGCTTCTCAAGTAGCATATTTTTTTACTCTCCAAGCAGCACCTCTCCTTACTCTTCATGTAGCTCGCTTCCTTGATCTTCAAGTAACTCATTTCTAATTTTATTCCTAATATTTTATTTGGTTCCAAACAACGATTTTGCCTGTATACAAAGTGTGGGTGAGTTAATTAGTAAGTTTATAAATAATAGAAGGGTCGATTCTTCAATGTGTCAAAATATCTAAGATGTACTGTTACACCTAAACTTTTGTATATTGTTGATTAAATAAAAATAATTATATCAACTGTTTAAGATTAAAATAAGATAAATAAATAGAGAAAAATTATATCATTGGAAAAGTTGGATTCAATGAAAAGAGTAAGCTAGTGCACATATATGTAAAATAAAACGGAGCCAAAGTCTAAATAAAATGAAAAATACATCGTAGTGTATCGATTATGTGGTAGTTTTTGTGACGAATTAATTATGGTAGGGGATGTAATGGGGCACTGTAGCGTATAAGACGAATTATAGTCGTATATCAGATTGGAAGAGGCTGATTTAGGTTGAGAGAAAACGAGATTAGTTAACAATGGTTTTAGTTGAAGCTTGTTGACTCCAACAAGCAGGAGGACGAGGTTCTAGTTTTGAAGGGTTTCAGATATAAGTGGGGGAAGAAAATTTTAACTGAGTTCAAAGTTGAAACGAAATTATATATATATATATATATATATATATATGATCAAATATTATATAAAAAATAAAATTATAAATTTATTTGTAATATAATATAAAATAATTTTGAATTGTTATAAATAATAATAAAATATTTTATAATAAAAAATTAAATATTATATTTTCATTAAATTTTACAAGAAATAAATATAACTATGAAATTATACTATATTTATTAATTCACTTGTCATTATAAGTGAGGAACAATTTTTATGTCTAATTTATCAAAAGAAAGACTAGCAACTTTAAAAAATCTAACTTCTTCAAATGGATTATATTCATCTCTATCATCTCACCCTTATTATAATTTTTAGACTTCCATGAAAGAAGTTGAAGATTTAAATACTAAGCTATCTTAGAATTTAGCTTATTTCATTTTAAGGAGTGAAAAATATATAGTTGTAAAAGGAGCTTCAAGGTGATGAATGGATTGAAGTTTAGGAATTACAACTTCATACACAATCTATCATTCCTCTTGTTGCTTTGTCTTACATTCAAAAATTTTTCATTTTTATCACAAATCAAAATTGATTCTTTGTCTCACATGTTGAAGCTTAAGTTTCTATGTTGTATTAACCAAATAGTCCACATCTGTATGAACCAAATAGTAGTAAGCAGAAAAAAAAAAGAATAAATTAATAGGAAGTTTCACGGTTAATAGAAAGAGAAAAAAAAAAGAGAGAATAGACAGAAATGTGAGCAAGGTACCTACACACATGAAAGAGACTAACTTTGTTAGCACATGAAAGACTAAAGAGATTCATAAAGTGTAAGTCAAGCGTACTTCATTTATAAGATAGAAATTGCAAAGCATCTTAAAATTTTAATTTGTAAAAGCAATTGACACATAATCACTCTCTAAAAGTGACTTTAGAAAAATCGGTTAGTATGTAACTGCTCTTCAAGAATATCTTTAGAGAGCAATTAATATATAATTTCTCTCTAAAGTATAACTTTAGAAAATGGTTAAATTTTAACCACTCTACAAGTCTTTTCAAAAGTATTTTTTAAAGAGTAATTATAGAGAATTGTTCTCCAAAATCTTTTTCAAAGAGCAAGTCTAACGTAACTGCTTCGTATCCTAGAAAGCAATTCTCTACTAATCTAATCACTCTTTTAGATAATAAATTATAAAGTAAAATCTAACATTATTTTAATAATAGCTAATAATTTCAATTTCACATACTGATTATATACATTGTTAGCCTCTTCAATAAACGTATAACATAGTTTAAAAATTTGAAATCATTGGATTGAAATATTTCCATTGTCTTATTGTAAAAAATTAAATCAAATCAGTTTATATAACACAATTTATTAATCTATGGCCTGTGAATCATAACCAAGGGCTTGTTAGCTTTAGGATTAGAAAATTAATTCTCATATTTTTTTAATAAAAAAACACAAATTTTAATAAACATATATTATTCAAATTAATTAATGTATATTTCTCAATTATTTTTAATGACTCTAAATTAATTTTATTAAACTTTCTATATGGAAAATTGAACTAGGTAATGCCACGTTACAAAGGAAAACCGTTCAAGTCATCACAAATAATTTTTAAAAAATTATCATTGATTCATTCTCTGATTGGATTAATAATTATTTTTTAATTTTTATTTCACTAATTTATAAATGGTTTAAATATATTTTAACTACCTTTAAATAGGGCTTATTTCAAATTACTACAAATTAAATTTTTTTTTTCATTTTAATACCTAACTATTTTTTTTTTAATTTTGTACTAAACGTTAACTTTCATCAGTTAAATGGTGACGCAACTCGCAGTTTGCCACGTCACCCTCAATTTCTCTCTTCCATCTCACACTTAAATTTTTACGTCACGAATCCACATCAAAAAATGAAATATAATTTACATGTTGCCTTTTGGATAATGAGGGAAAGAGGGCCAAAACAAGAACCCTATTCCATGAAGAAGAAGAACACTAAGGAGAAAAACACGTTGAAGACAAACAAGAAGGAAAGAAGAAGAATCATTAAAGGAAGAAGAAGGTTAGGGTTCCTTTTTCGTTGGTTGTCGTTGTCCATCTCGATCTCTGTTTCTATTCTTCATCTTCACGAAATGAGTAGTATGGGTGGTTTCTCATGCTCATCTTTTACACGAGCTGTTGTAACTTGCAAATGTAAAAAATCCGTTATAATTTTCACCTCACAGAGAAAGAAAAATCCTAGCAAAAGGTTTTGGAGATGTTCTAGTTAGAATGTAAGTTCAACTAGTTGTATTTGGGAATGGATTTCTGTTTTTATTTCTAAAATTTGTTTGTATTTGGTTTGCAGGAACCTAATTTTTGCAATTATTTTTGTTAGGTTAAAGAGTCTGTAGATAGAGACAATGAGTTTATTATCTCGAGACAAATCTGCACAATTTAAGAGTTGAATGCAAAGATCAGCGATGTAATGGAGGTTGAAAAAACAACTAAGGAGAAAAGGGCAAAAAGTAAAGAAGAGATGGTGAGACTTCACGAAGAATATCATGATCTCCATCAACAGCTAATGATTGTGTTTTAGTTTTTCATTATCATTGTGAGCATTATAGTAGTAATAAATGTTGTTAGTAAGAAAGTTTTAAAGGCTGACAATTTGTAATTCAATGTATTTCAGTATTAATAACTACCTCCATAATTTTAGTATTTCAGAATAGAACCTGTATTTTTAAATCGTTTAAGGTTTACTACCTGCATAAATAAACATTTTCATATTACTACCTTCAATATATAACTGACCGTAAAGTACTGCTTAATATTTTATATTCTTTTAGTATCTCTAAAATAAATATTTTACATTTTACTACTTGCATTATACAAATTTATCAATTCACTATCCAAATTTAACTTCTTAAAGCAGTTCCATAACAACCGCTCTCTAATATATATTTCTGAGAGCAGTTCATTTAGAACCACTCTCTAATATGTACTTCTAAGAGCGGTTCATCTAAAATCGCTCTTGTAGTTGTATTTTGGAGTGGTTGTTAAATAACCGCTCTCAGAAGTGCTATACTTTAAAAAGCAGTTCACAAATGGAACTTCTCTTACAACTTTACAGAGCGGTTGACCCAGAGAACCACTTTGAAAGGTGCAGATTAGAGAACAGTTATTTCTTAACTGTTTTCAGATGTTATATTTTTAAATTAAACCCTAAGCCCTAATCTAGTTATCTCTATTCCCGCGCTAAGTCTGTACTTCAAATTTGTCTCTGTTCAGTGTTTTCTTGAACACAGATAAATTTCCTTGAAGTCATAAGGACCAAATTTCCACCATATCCTCACAAGATGTTCTCTATAATCTAAGTATTTTTTACAATCCTAAATGCTTCAAAGTACAACCACCTATCCATATCAACGTTTTTCACAGAAACTGTCTCTTTACCCCTAACATAGTGCATCACAGGGTCCAACTCAAAATGACCCCCATAATGAATAATAGCATTGAAAGCTATCTATATACAAAAAGAAACAAATATTTGTGTCAAGTAAAACAAAATTAACAAAATTAAACCCTTTCTCTCAATAATCAAAATAAATAACACTTATCTTCAACAATGTTCAAAACGGTGCTTCGTATTACTCTTTGCTCAACACTGGGTGCTTTCTAGAACAGCAAAGGGTCTCGCCTATTTATGGCAACAAAATGCCATATCTGGTAACACTTCTCGTCCACGAACAACCAATCACCAACAATGGTGCTTGGGAAACAAGGAACAAATAACAACGTAAATGTTTGTTTCTGAAACAAAAAACAATGAAGATGAGAAACAAATTTAAATTTTAGATAAGAGATTCAACCATTTTTGCTCTATATTTTGAAAATTTTCACTTAAAAATAAAGATTGAGGAACTGCCCATTTACGACTTCAGCGTTCCTTTCTTCAACACTGCGATATTAATTTTTTTGTTTTTTTATTTATTTTAAAAATAAAACACAAATGTAGATTTATGACATGAAAATTTAAGAGTGATGTGAAAGAGAGATTGAGGGTAACGTAGTAAACTGAGTTATGTCACCATTTAACTAACGGAAACTAACGTCAAATACAAAATTGAAAAAAAAATAGTTAGGTATTAAAAAAAATTAATAGGTAACAATTTGAAATAAGCCCTATTTAGAGGTAGTTAAAATATATTTAAGCCTTTATAAATTGATTTCTAAATTGGTCACCAATAATGTCTAATAATTTAATCTTTAACTTTTTAAAACAAATTAGTTGCTACTTTAGTTTCTAAATGAATTAATGACTATTTTTTACTTTTTATTTTAGGTTTTTGAAAAAACTCTTAGCTAGTTCAGTTTCTGAATAAATTAATGATTATTTTTTTATTTTATTAATAAACAAATTATCTCTAAATCAATCACTAATTATAATCGATAAATTAGTTTTAAAATTTTTAAAAAAATGAATCACTAATTCAATTTCTAAATAGATTAATAATTATTTTTTATACTTTTATTTTAATAATTCACAAATCAATCACTAATAGTGATAAAAATATCAATCTCTAATTTCTTAAAAAATTGGTTGTTAATTTAGTCTTTAAAAAAATATAATTTGATAAAATAAATAAATAAATTTAACTTCAAAATTAGTCATTATATTGACTAATGGCTTTCTTGTAGTATTATTATCAAAGTTATCTTTCATAAAACAAGTTATGTATAATTTTTTTACTATTAAGCTACACGAAACTCAAGATTGTAGTGAAAGCTTGTACAGATATGTATGTTTTTCAAATTAAGTTTTTAAAGTATATTTTTTTCAAAAAAAATGTATTAGAAAAGTCTGTTATCTTAATTATATTTTCTATATCCTTGGTGCTTATAATAACCCTAAATAAGTAGCATAAGCATTTTAGTCATAATACTCATAAAAATTGTGGACCTTCTCATAGTATTACCCTTCTAATGATTTTAATATAATGATCATTCTTATTGTCATTTGCTTGGTTCTTCTTATCCTTTAACTAAGTTTTGGCACTTATGCTTAGTATAAACATAGGATTGTTGTTATCTTTTTAATCTTATGTGATATTTATATTATACGTGACAACTCTTGAGAAGTTAAATGGTGAGGAATGGGGAGATTTAGAAGGTCCATGCCATAGTTCAACTTAGTAAGTAACTTTAACTTTTTATATTTTTTAAATCGATAACGTGAAACACCCAATTCTAAATATAAAATAAGCTTATATGATTAATGAAATTTGTTTTTTCATGTAATTCATAGATAATGTCAATTGAACTTAAAAACAAATTATGTAATGAGATTTTCCATTTTCTATACTAGCTAAAAATGGTAACAATGATTATCCAATATTCAATATTTAATATCATATATGATACAGAAAAATTTTATAGATACATTGACATAAATAAAAAATTGATCTAAAGATAAGAAAAAATGTTTAGATTTTGATACCGACCAATTTTCCTAATAGCATAGCACTGATCTATTGCTATGATAGTTTAAGTGTATCATAGTTGGTACTCACCAATTCATTCATTGAATATATTTTTTTATTTATTTTTGTGAAATCGTAGTTATTGCCTATTGTATTGCCCTTTCTACTAAATAAATCTACTATCATATATCATAAGATTTAGAGCATATTCCTAAAATTTGCTCTTGTACTTTATTTAAATGCTTCTTCCTGTTACTATAATTTTTAGTTAGATTGTATTGTGGAGTTACCACAGAATTTTTCAATTATAGCATGGCTAATAAAGTATGAGGTCAAACCAAACACTACTATCCTTTCATATTGATAACTTTTTTTTTTCTTTTTCTTGTTTCATAGGCAGGCAATACTAAAAAAAAATATCACATTATACCATATTTTAAAATTTGAGAAATACATTTATGTTGAATTTGCTTTTCTCACAAAATTATCTACATTGTGATGTGTGAACTTTAATTTCTAATAGAATTCACAAAATTTAAATATTAAAAAAGTTAAATATTTGTTATTTTTTTAAAATTTTAATATTATTTATTTAAAATAATTATATATATATATATATATATATATATTGTTTTTAAAATTTTTAAGTACAGATACTATTATTATTAAAATATTTATGAATCAAATTATCTAAATTTAAGATATTATTATTGTCAATGAAAACAATTTCAAAATTTAACCAACAATAGAAAAAGCTAGTAAATAAATAAAAAAAGATTTTAAAATTAATTTTAGTGTCATTTAAATCGTCATTAACATTAACTACTCTAAGTTAAAATTTTAAACAATAATAAACTAAGTCTTTACCAACAATTTTTCATAATTTTCAGTAAAACTTTTTCTAACAGGGTAATAATTATTTGCTAAAATTTATTTTTGTTATACTGATTATAATTTAGTAGACCAAAATTTAAAACTTAATAATTACATATTTTCAAAAGGAAAAAAAGCACTTACATAATTAATTTATGTGCAATATACCTATAATTTAGTTTAAAAAATCCATTCAACACAATATTTTGTCTGGTATAAAGTTATTCTTAGAGTATACAACTAATTTACATTTTAAAATAAATTTAATGAAAAAAAACACTTAATATACTAAATATATATTGATGGTCAATTAGCTTGGCAAAGAAACGTGCATGGGAGGATATAATAGGAATGGGCCAGCTTTGTATTCTAACAATAGGCAAATGGAACTGCTTTGACGAGGAGGATATACGTAAGAGGAAGCACGCATTCGAAGGAGCAAAAGCAAAGGGAAGTGAGAGACGAAATCGGAGGGTTTGAATGGTGGAGAAGCAGCGAGTGAAACATATATAACATGGGGAGAAGAGACTCATCATGTACCAAATAAAAACAGAAGCCCTTTAAAGAGTAAAAAGAAGATCAATATAGAGAGAAAACATGGGCAGCATAAGGCTTTGGTTGTCGCTATGTCTCTTTGTTGGGACAATGGCACCCATCATGGGTGAAGACCCTTACTTCTATTTCACATGGAATGTCACCTATGGCACTCTATCTCCAGCGGGTGTGCCCCAACAAGTTATTCTGATCAACAACGAATTCCCAGGACCCAACATCAATTCGACGAGCAACAACAACATCGTTGTTAACGTATTCAACAACCTCGACGAACCTTTCCTCTTCCATTGGATGGGGATCCAGCAAAGGAAGAATTCGTGGCAAGACGGGGTGGCGGGAACAAACTGCCCCATTCTTCCGGGGACAAACTTCACATACCATTTCCAAGTGAAGGATCAAATAGGAAGCTACTTCTACTACCCGAGCTTGGGCATGCACAGAGCAGCCGGTGGCTTCGGTGGGCTTCGCGTGAATAGCCGGTTGCTGATCCCCGTCCCCTACGCAGATCCAGAGGACGATTACACCGTCTTAATCGGTGACTGGTACACCAAGAGCCACTCCACTCTAAGCAAACTCTTGGACAGTGGACGCGCCCTTGGTAGACCCCAAGCCGTCTTAATTAACGGCCAAAACGCCAAAGGTGACGGAAGCGACCAACCCCTCTTCACAATGATCCCCGGAAAGACCTACAAATACAGAATCTGCAACGTGGGCCTGAAAAGCTCCCTCAACTTCAGAATCCAAAACCACCCCATGAAGCTTGTTGAATTGGAAGGGTCCCACACAGTCCAAAACCTTTACGATTCCCTTGATGTTCATTTGGGGCAATGCTTCGGTGTGCTCGTAACTGCTGACAAAGAACCAAAGGATTATTACATGGTTGCTTCCTCCAGGTTCACCAAAACCATTCTCACTGCAAAGGGTATCATCCGTTACACCAACGGCAAGGGCCCTGCTTCCTCCGAAATCCCTGAGGCTCCTGTGGGCTGGGCCTGGTCTCTTAACCAATTCCGTTCCTTCCGTTGGAACTTGACCGCTAGTGCTGCCAGGCCCAATCCTCAGGGCTCTTACCATTATGGCCAGATTAACATTACCCGCACCGTCAAGCTTGTTAACACCGTCAGCAGGGAAGATGGAAAGCTTCGTTACGCTCTTAACGGGGTTTCTCATGTTGAAGGTGACACCCCTCTCAAGCTCGCTGAATACTTCGGAATCCCCGATAAGGTTTTCAAGTACGATTCTATTTCCGATAACCCGGAAAACCTTGCCACCGCTGTTACTGTTCAGCCCAATGTCGTTCGCTTCGCACACCGCACCTACATTGAGATCATCTTCGAGAACCACGAAAAGAGCGTTCAGTCTTATCACTTGAACGGTTACTCCTTCTTCGCTGTCGCGTGAGTGTTTGTTACTATTATTATTATTTTATGATTAAAATATAAATACATTCGATGATTAACTATTAATTGTTGTTTCTGTTTGCTGAATGTAACAGCATTGAGCCAGGGAAATGGAGCCCAGCCAAGAGGAAGAACTATAACCTTCTTGATGCAGTGAGCAGGCACACAATGCAAGTGTTCCCAAAATCATGGGCTGCTATCATGTTGACATTCGACAATGTTGGAATGTGGAATCTGAGGTCTGAGATTGCTGAGAATCGTTACTTGGGTCAACAACTTTACATTAGTGTTATATCCCCTGAACGTTCTCTGAGGGATGAGTACAATATTCCAGAGAATTCGTTGATCTGCGGCCAAGTCAAGGATCTGCCAAACCCACCACCATATACCTAAATTAAGATTTATCTAGCTCTTGTTATATATATATATATATCATGAAATCCACCAGTGTGGAAAAGTAGAGATGAATAACGTAGGTCCGTGAGGCATCAGAAAGTTGTTGATCGGTTTGGATCAACTTGTTAGAAATATGACTTCATTTTGTTCTTTCACTTTTTTTCTCTTTAAGTGGGTGCAGGGCTCCTGCAATTTTTATTACCAATGTACTCCTTTTTATTCAACTATTGATAATTTTTCATAATTATTTGTTCATGTCTTGTTACTCTCTTTCTCTCTCCATTCCTCTTCCTTTTTGCACTTATCTCTTGCGATACTGCAAAAGCTTCCAATTAATAATAAACGTGCTTATTGCAACATTCATACGTGTCTTACTGCGTTAGAAACTAGTGCCATAATTTTACGATGAAGCTTTTCAAGGCACTCTCTCTGTCTTTGCGTGAGTTCCTTTAGGAAGAGTAGCGAATTTTGTTTATCATATTTTTACTTTTCTTTTTATTTATGTTTTTCTTCCTCACATTTATTTGACACTCCATAAAAAATATAAAATTATCATTTCTCTTAAAACTACGCCCCAAATCTCTAACACGATACAATATCTTTTCATTATTGTTTAAAATATTGGGCTGCTATAAAGTTAAAGGCATTTTATTTTAAAATAAATATATAAATTTCTATAATTAAAAAATAAATTTTATTTTTTGTAAATAATTATATTATATGTATAATAAAATTATTTGAAATAACTTTCTTTAAAAAGTATCTTAACTCAACTCTATAACCACAAATAATATGTATAAAAATGATAGATTTAATAAAATTAAATAATTTTATAATATAATTTATTTTAAAATAATATTTTTATCATATAGTGTTAAAAAATAATTTTTAACTAAATATCAATACTCAACATATATTAATAATTATAAAATCAAGAGATAAGAATCTTAAAAGTTAATTTGAAATTCAAAAGAAAATTAAGATATATACTTAAGATATATGTGAAATTGTTTGTATTTTTAAAATAATATCTAAAAGCTACAAAATAAAATATTATAAAACTATTAACATACTTATCTTAAAGATAAAAATCACATGAAAAAATCAAACACTAATAGATCAAGTGCGAAAATAAATTTTTAAAAAAATTATAAATTTGAAATATCGTAATACATTATAAAATTGAAAGACAGAAATTGAGAATTTTGCATGGTTATAAAACTAAGCAAATATAACACACAAATAAATATTAAAAATTATTATGTACTAAAGAGAAATTTAATAAAGATTAAAAATAATGGTGTTTGTCTACACAAAGAGCAATTTACATAAACAGCATCGAGTTTAAAAAAATGTAAATGTCAAAAAGTGTACAAATTAATTTAAAACAAATTTGTTAAGATTAAATAAATAAATTACTATGAAAAAAAGAATTTGAGAATAGTGTGACTTTTGAGAAAATGGATGGAAGTGATGGACTCTTGCACAAAACTTAAAATGTGTTATTATTGAATATTTTGATTAAGAGTATTATAAATAATCAATTAATTTTATAAACTTTATAAATATGTGTGTGAGAAAGAAATTTAAAAATTTATATATAAAAAGTAAGTTTAATTATATTTTGTTTCTTCATAAAAGTAGTAATCTTTAAGATAAATCTTTAATTTTTTAATCTCTATCATTAATTGTGCACTATTAAATGATGAACTGAATAAGAAAAATCTAACTCATGATTGTTTAATTCATGATTGTCATGCCACTGCTATGTCATCATTATATTTTATATTTTATGATATAAAAATTAATATTTATAAAAATATCCTAAAAATAATAATATTTTTTTTTATAGGTACTTCCTTCTTTCCCTTTCTTCAACTTGGGAACCCCTTCTTTCTCCAAAGCAATTCCCCCAAAAGACTTTTGTTACTTTTGCCCAACATTGGATAAAGGAAGCTCCTTTTGATCTTCAGTCATTGCATAAATGCTTTGACAAGATTTTTTTCATATTCAATTCATCAGCTTCCTGCATTGCCCTACCTAGCAACAAATGAGAATATAAATTATAAATCAGATTCACATGTCAGTTTTTCCAGCCTGTCCAACTAATATTCTAGTAGAAAAAAACAATTGTATAATATATAACATTAAATTAAAGAAGTGATGTATAATATATAACATTAAATTAAAGAAGTGATGATGGTGGAGAAACTTAAATCTTTTATCTAATCTTTCTTTGCTTGCATCACAAATATGTTGGGAATATCTTTGGATTAAAGCAACAATTCTTCTCTTTTTTCACTCTCTCTTTTATCAATCTCTCTTTTATCAAGTAAACTTTCACTCCTGAATATGTATAAGTCCTCCAAATTTTAATTTTAAAATTTTAATTTCTAAAATTAACAATTGTCAATCAACCTAGTCTTTTAACACTAAGAGACGTTAAAAATAAGTAATAAAATTTTGATTTATCACGTTAAGTAACACGTAAACATACACATGAATTTCAAATAATATTGTATTTGTGCATTATGTAATGCTTTATTTTTGTCCCTAAAATTAATCTATTACACTATAATTATAATTACACCCTACCTTAAACTTAGTTTATCTGATTTTTCCTTTTGAATTCAACCGTTCTTGAGCATTGAGATTCTTTTTTCATCCACTTGCTTAGTGCAGGACAACAACTGCTTATGTTTTCATCTAATTTTACCATATTTTTCTGCTTGCTTTGAGAAAGGTACGTATAAAGACCCCTCTTCCCATTCTAAAGGTCCCCCGTTTCACTTTTGCCTTTGACCTTTTTTTTTGTGATTAGGTATTTACGTTTAGAAAAGTCACAATTTGTGTTTATTATATAGGTTGATTGTGATCCCCATAGGATTCTTAAATTATGATTAGTTTTCACACGATGAAATGTGTTTTAAATTTTGTGCCTATTTATTTGTTAATTAATTTAAGTGTTTTATCATGTAGAATGAATTTTACTACAATGCACATCTACCACGGAGGTAAGTTTGTGAAACAAGATGATGGAAGTATAGAGTATGAAGGAGAAATGGTTGAAGTTTGGCCTAAAATAGATGATGAAAAGTTAGATATGTGCTCAGTTTCAATAATTATCAACTTAGGCACTCAAACTTGTACTTGTCAATTTTGGCAACTAAAAGGTAACATGTAATTTTAGCATAGCACAATATTTCAATTGAAAATTAACATTTGCATCCTTATATGTTGTAAACATGTCATGCAAACATGCAATAGCTATTATTGCATTTAAGAATGAATAGCCTGAAGAGTATTGTTATGGTTAACCAACCATGACAATATAGTACTACATATGAACACTTTGTACAACTTGTGCATAGCATCAAATTTTGGTCAAAGACAAATCAAATTCCAACAGTACCTCCTCCTATTAAGAAATTTATTGGCAAACAAAAAAAAAACACAAAGAAGAAAGAATGCAAATGAAAAGGAAAAAAAAAAGGAACAATTCAATCAAAAGCTTTTTTAAATTGAAAAGCAAGTAGTAAGGCATAAATGTTCAATATATGAAAAAAATGGCCATAATAAAAAAGTTTATCATGTTTACAGAAAATAAAGATTAGAAGGCTTCATGGCAACCAGTATAGTAAAATAGTGTAATGTAGTAGGTAACAATAATGCGGTTGGTGTTGAACCTATGAGTGAACCTGCCAAGGCGTAAGTTATAAATTAGACAAAAGTCACATGAACTTGCTCATTCTTATATCACAGTTGCTACCAATACACAATTACCACTAAGTCTCGTGCAAATGATACTCACATGCTTAAAGCACTATATTTAGGTGTAATACAATATATGTCTACTCCGACCATTAGAAAACATCAAGATTAGCTTAATAGTTAAAATTATCTTTCTGTAATAAGCATGTAACTCGTTATTTTGTAAGTAATTACAAAGAGTGTCTTTTGGTGTTACTTTTGGAAATGGATATAGATATGTAACATTTATTATCCCTTTGGATATTAAAATTTGTATGAATATTGTCTTAATTAGCATAAGCATATTACTATTTTACCATGAATGCAAAAATAGCCTTGCAAATCGAATTAATCTTATTTCATTCATTACTCAAAATAGAATATAAACCATTTATAGTACACTACATCATTGATACATGAATTATTACCCATACTACAACCTAAACATACTTTCTACTTCAATAAGTTAACCAATCCACATATTATTATCACAATGATCATAACACACTACACAATATTTTAATACCTTAATTTCAACTTCTAAACTTGTAATATTCACAGCAACTTGCATTTTTCAATATGCATTCTCACATTGTGCAATTGTTGCATTAAAACTTCCTTCAACATTATTGATATTGTCTGCTTCTATTATATCATTAAACCAATAAAATTATTCACAATGTCCAATAACCTAGAAAAACATGATACATGTTTCATTATCACGCAATTATATTCTCAGTAAATTAATTCATCAAAAGTCATTAACCTCCCATGCCCCTTTCCATATCATTGTAATTAAGGCATTAGAAGAACAATTTACTTGAATTTGTACTTATTTTTGACCTTTTTACAACAATAGTAAGTCATAGTAGCATCTTCTAGAATGAGATCTCTTGAAACAAACATTAGAACTACCTAAATGACTTTTTTTCATTATTGCTTATGGAGAAATGAGACACATTTCCACCACTAATCATCTACAAATAAGACGAATAACCTTGAAGGAAGAAGGAAAGAGCTTACATAGTGTGAGAAGAAATTACGATTCAACTTAGGATTTTAAGAAGGAACTTACCCCACGAGAAAAAGCTACAAAATAACATTGTTTAAAGTTCATGTAGATATTTGCATGTCACTTAACATGATAATCAAAATCTTTTACATATTTTTAACATCTCTTAACGTCAGATATTAAAACGACTGATATTTATTGTTTTTGGGTACTGAATTTTCAAATTTTCAATTTTGAGGACTAACTTAAGTCACATTACATATTTGTAATTTTGAAGAAAGGGAAAAAGTGAAGGACTGAGAAAAAAATTAAAAACTTTTTTGTAAATATTAATTTTTACATAATATAATATGAAAAATAATGATAACGTGATAGTGATGTGACAATGATGAGTTAAATTTTTGTTATCCAACTCATCCATAAAAGAGAACAATTGATGGCAAGAACTAAAAGCATGTTTATTTACATTTTTAAAAAGATTTTTTTAAAAATAAAAAAATAAGTGTATTTTTTATTTTTTTTTAAATATTTTTAAAAATGTAAGCAAACATGTTCTAAAATATTTTGAAGATGTCAGATGTTAAATCCTAACAAAAAAAAATCAAAAACTTATTCTAAAGTATGCTAATTTTATAGAAAAATAATAATTAAATAAAAAAAACTATAAATATAATCAATATTTATAGAGATTTTAAAATTTTATACAAGGTAATAAGAAAATTTTGATAAATATTTACTAAAAATTGAAATTTAAAAAAAATTAAATAACAACTCATCTCTCTAAAATTTAAAACAGAATTAACAAAATAGTAGATAAAAAATAAAATTATTATAATAAAAAATATAATTCACCTACTATTTTTAATTGATTTTAATTTTAAAATTTTTAATATATATAAAAAAAATAGCTTCAAAAATACTCAGATTGATTCAACCAGTAAAAGCACCTAATTTACACCCTATCGCTCATGTCATGTATAACGAAAATCAATCATTTGCACATTAATTTTTGTAAATTCATTATTTGAATGTCAAATAATTAATATTGTATCTAGTATTAAATATAATTATTTCTATTATTTATTTATACGTTTCAAAAATATTAAATATATACATTTCAAAAATATTCTCCCAAAATTAAAGGGATTCAAATTCAGTACAGTTAAAAAAAAGTTATATTAATGCAGTTAAAAGAAAAAAACTGATACTTTGTAATTCGTACAAATTGTATATAATTCAAAAATGCAAAGTATCACAAAGTATTGATAATCTGTATTCAACTGCACGAATAACACCTTTTTCAACTGCACTGAGTTTAGATCCAAATCAAAGAACACAAGAAAAAATACCCTATTTGTTGAAGAATAAAAGTGAACTAAAATATTATGTATTTTACGTTATTAGAGGTTTTGATTTATTTTAAACTTTTTGTTTGTCTCAATGTTAACATTGTTTTTTAGAACTTTCATTAAACAAATGAAAGAAATATAATAAACTCATACTCTTAAAATTAAGAATATTTAATGATTTTTTTATTTTTATGCAGATTTTAAGCCATGATTATTTTAAAATGAATGGCATATTTATACAGAAAATTCTTATTACACATCTTAAAGGAGTTATATCTCCTCAAATTTATTAAGGTAGCAAAATCAGAATGGAAAAGCATATTGTTCTTTAGATATTATTTGTGTTATATACCAATAAATAAGATTTTATTGTAATAAAATATGTATATTTAATGTTATTGCAAATTATCCAAGTGAAACTACAATCTTGATTGAGAATAATATGCAAAAGTACGTATAGTAGTTATACCTAAGTTTTGTCTAATCAAAATCTACGTGTGCCAAAAATGAAATGAAAGCAAACAAAAGTGATTATAGTCTACCAAGAAAAAAGTGATGATAATCCAGTCACTCCCAAGGTCAGCTTTAACAATACATAATTCTTTTTTCTTCATTTTATTTATAATGTAAAGTGTAAACACCCACCAAAGCTAATATTATAAACAACACTGATTCAAGCTTTTATACGCATCCACTAATTGCTGCACTTACCTCCCCCTGGTCGAAAGAAGCAAGCTTGTAGCTGGTATTGATGGAAGTTAGTTTCCTCTTAGTTCACCCGTTTTGCTTTCTCTACTCACCCTCCAATTCCCACCTCCATATTGTTGCCAACCCTCCTTTTTTTCTCCCTCCCTTTTTTAGTTCTCTTATTTATTGGTATGAGTTAAGGTCTTCAAAAGTAATATTATGAGGCTCCAAAAGTGTCATTTAAGTGAAGGAAATTTAAGCTAAAAGCTTGGGGCCTTAGCCATGTCTCGTAGGATATAAAATTAAAAAAAAAAAACTAAGGTCATGGGCCATGAAACAACCAAGTCGATGTGAGCTGGTTTAGGGTTTAATGAAGAGACGTATTATAAATTAAACTCGGTGCAGAAAACATGAGTAAATATGCCTCTTGAAAATAAGAGAGAGGGATAAGAGAAGTGCATAAATAATTTATCTTCATTCTTCAATTACAACATTTGACCTACGTCTAGTTCCCAAATAACTACTTGGCATTTTTTTTAAATTCACCCCGTTTTTGCTTAGAAGAGCTACAACCAACCTTTCTCGACTTCCATCACCAAAGTAAAATAACAAGTGTCTTTGCTTCCCAAAACATGAGTAAATATGACAATTACATTGTTCACAAAATATAACCTTTTATAGACAATTAACCTTTTACACGTTTGAGATGTCGAGTTGGCAGAAGTTGTAGCGTTAAGGAGACCTCTGGGAGCTGAATCTTCTTTAACTGATATTCAGAGAATAGATGTCTTATAAAAGTACCCCCCAGGCATATCATGTCAAGTAGATCCAAGAAGCATTCGAGTTTGATTATCGAATATATATGCAGACAAATTTTCAAACCAAGTCTATTAATGATCTGGATTAGAAAAGAGAAAGTGTCCTACGCGCCAGAAATGAAGAATCAACCAAAACTGGATTTCCTACAAAATCCTTACACTGCCAGCAGACGCCTGATTTGCTGCTCGATTGCTTCCAAAATTCTTCCGATTTGATTCCCTTGCGATTCTAGAACCAAACTACACGAATACACGTATAATAGAAAGACAAATGAATCGCCATGCAAAAGAGTAGTTAGCCAAGCTAAATACATATGTACAACTTTTTAACGAATTAGCCATTGCCTTCCAGTGAAGTTGCATTCTCTTGCTATTAATTCCTTATACAAAAGTTTGTTTCCCCCATAAAAAGATGTAAGAAAAATATAGTAAGTTTTCACTACCCTCGAAAAACTATATACATTTTAGTCCTTCAACACACCCCCAGCGATATATTAAGCTCTATTGACATCTAACATGAGATCTATCTTAGGAAAACGTAGGGCGCTTCTGGTACACTAGTGAAATAGCAGAGTACAAAACTACAGCTGTCGTAGGAATGAACTGAACAATTGAATCCCAAAAGAGTGGATTGAAACTAATACATAAACCTAGAAGCTTCATATTTAAAATTGCTAACCCTCAAAGAAAAGCACATATTCTTTCCTTTAATAGTAGTATTGCATAGCTTTAGAACTTACATCAAGTAAATTCAAGTGTAAAGTTTGAGAGATGCACACCTGGATTGCTCGTTTCGGCAAAACTGCTGCTTCATGTAAACCAAGCAATTCTGCGACCTTCAAGAAATACATTAACTATGAGATTCGATTTTAGGAATCCCTCTTTTTTTTTTGGGTCTTCAGAAAAGGGTTTAATTTGGAAAAATAAAAGTGCATATCTAAACATTTGTTTTGCTTAGATGGAACATCAAACTTTCGGTTGTTGAAAACGAGAAGTCAGTACATTAACTGGATCTGCCAAATATAAGTAGGATTACCTATGACCAGTTGGAGGTTAAGATTCTGGAGCGTGCATTTGGGAAGGGGAAGGTCAAACTATAATACAATCCATTGGTATTAATTTTCTTAATGGAAATTTGTGTATATTAAGGGAAAAGAAGTATCGTATCAGATCTAGACCAAAAGCTTTTAATTTTTCCTGTGTATGGAAGATGGATACAGTTCAAGCAACAGCATTAGTTTTAAGTCCTCAATATTCAAACTCATAAAGCATATAATTTTGCTAGTATTATCAAACACTCAGATCACTAGTTTGATTTCAGCTCAGTCAAAGAGATTTTCATAGTCAGCCAGCCAATAAATGGTCTGACAATACATCAGTTTCCATAACAATTGAAAATGAGGAAAGTAAATAAATCATTCAAACACAACAAAGAAATAGCAATACCTCTCTTAAAATCTTCTTATCACCAATGCCACTAGGTTGATCAAGGTTGGCTACCTCCCACAATGGAATGTTGAGTAAAACCCTTACAACATCCTCATCCAAGAACGGAAATCTAGCCTAAAGGAAAAATAGAAGGAACAGAAGGAAGAAAAAAATATGTAAATGGTAGACTAATGAGATCAATATTGATCTTTTATAGACTTTTTAACATTACCTCCTTTCCATTATCAGCAATAGATCTATCATCTCTCCCTAAATTTCTTTTCCAAATCCTTTGAAAGTCAAGTCTCATTTCCTCATGTAACCCCAGCCAACTGATTAAGGCATATTACACCATCAGAATTCATTAAAAGATAATGCAAGCACATTCTCCAGTTCAAAAATCAATACTATTAACCTAACACTCATAACCTAAGAATTTCAATAATATTTCTTCTCCAAATATAAGTCTATTGAACTACTACAAAAAAAAAGTGACTTCAAAATAAATAACCAATCAAGTACTTTTAGTTCAATAACTAGTTTAAGTGAAACCTATTTTCATTGTCTAGAGATACAGGTGCCATTACTCATTTCATTGGTCCTAAAAATATTCTTCAATTTAGTCCTTCAATAATGTAAAGCATCATAAATTTAGTTCCTTAATCATGCAAAATGTCATCCATTACACTTACTTCTCTCAATCCAACAAAGAAGGACCAATTCGATGACACTTGGAATAATTGAGAAACTAAATTGATGAAAAAAAAAATTCACAAGAAAATAATAATACTTGCCATTTTGGAGGAGAAAATTAGGGATTTATACAATATTTTTAAAAACAAAGTGAGCTGAATAACATTTTAAACTTCACGAAAATTATTTAAGTAGGACTGTACAGTATATATTTCAAATTCTTTCCTGTGAAATTATTTCCACTTCTAAGTTAAATTGCCGATAAATGATTCTAAGATGAAAGAAATTGCAACATAAACACAGAATATTATCATCTGTAAATTGTAAACAAAAGGATAAGAATAATGCTAAAACATGATTAATCATTATCATAGTAATACCTTCCTCGTCGATAACTTGTTCTATGTCTCCCGTACCCAGCACACTGTTCATCAGCACCAGAACCAACCAGGAGAATCTTTGCATTGGACTTGTACTGCATCCGTGCTTGATTATCATCATTATCAGATGTATTTGCATCAGACACCCATCCCTTACCGCCAGAAGCAAGCCATAAAGCAATTCCAATATTAAGGTCCTGAAATGATATGTGCAAACTAGTCATATTAGAAATAGTAATAAAGGTGTTCAAAAATTTAGCTACAGGGTTTTCAGTCTGAAATTTCCATTTTTCCAGTCTGGAACATTAAACTGAAGTACATATTCAGCAAGAAAGAAGCTACAATGCAGAAGCAGAATTCAGTCACGGCAGGGTAATAAGTAATAAAATTGTAGATAACATCCGCACGGAAATTACTACCCGCTTCTTAAAATGAATGTATGTGCCTTTTACTTTCCTTTTCAACCTTTGTATGCATTGTTTCCCAAGCAAAACATACAAACTTCTAATTAAATCCTTATAATTAATCTAAACATCCATATATTTTAACAAAGCTTTTAATCAAATCCTTATAGTTTAAAAACTTTTATTGAAGTCGTTCTAATTTTAAAATTGTGTATCTAAATCCTTAGAGACTAACATTAAACTTCCATTATTTGGACTTGTCAACCTCTCAATTTTTCCTCAATTCTCTCTCTCTCTCTTCCACATGATTTCATTTTCCCAAAATCATTTATCCCCATATCACCGATTCCCTAAATGCTTGCCTGCATATTAAGGCACTACCTAATAGAAGAAAATATAATTATTGAAATATGAGATGTGAAGCTTGAAAGAAACCAGCAGAATAACACCAAATGATACAGTACTAAAAATTAAGCCAGACTCCCTCTCATCTGAACATTTAACTTCTGCTTACTGGACCCACATAAACACTTCTCTTTGTATGCATAACTATAATAAGCAAACCAATACGGAAATCTATGCAAAAGAGCAAACCCTCAAAAAACAAAATTTGCTATTCGCATCTGGTGACAGTTAAAAACCCACAAGTGTGAAACCAAAAAGTGTGTTATGTTAGCATTTATACGGCACTTTTGACACGGGGATAAAAATTAAAGAATGTCCAGATGCCAATGAGCAAAGCAAAGATTTAACTGTCAGTTACAATATTTAACAAAGTTAATGGTATTGATTTTTAAAGATTTAATTATAACATGTTAAAATTATAATGACTTAACTAAAACTTAGTAAAAATATAAGAACTCACATTAATTTAACCATCTTCTTTAACAAGTGCATTTATAACTTATATCTATCAATATCAACAAGAAAATAAACTGAAGCACATAGGCTATATATAACTCGGGGCCCAACAGTGCAGAAACTGTATCACTCTTCTTATAGCTGAAATAATTTATTAAAGAACTAGTAGACTAGTTTGGCACTTTTTTACTAGGAAAGTTGAGTATCATTATGCTTTGATATTATAAATTAGTTAAACCATAAGTCCCCAACCAGGTTTGTAACTTCGTTTTGTTTCCCACAAATATCCTTTATTGGAGACAATTCTACTCAAGATATGGTAAAGAACTAAATGTGTGTGCCTTTCCTAGTGGAGATTTGAACCATGGTTCACCACCTAGAGGGAAACTAACCCTTCTGCTAGACCCAACTCCCATTGGTGACTTTTTTCTTTATATTTTATTTTTTGTTCCTAAAGAAAAATAAAATAAGCCTAGAAAATATGGAAAGTTCAGTCCATCAAATGACATTAAACAATAATGTTGATTAAAATGTTCTAAAGTAAGCAGTTAAGAGGAATCTTGTAATATTGAAGGTTTCAGTATTTTAAATTTTTAAATAGCTTAATTCGATTCAATTTTAAAAATGAGCAAACTTTTTCTTTTTCACAATGTTTTAAAAACCAGTTGGACCGGACAGGTTGAACCAGTTATAATTTAACCCAAGTATGTATTTTTACAACATTAAAATATTTTCTTAGTACTACAATTTTGTATAACATATTTTATTTCTTCTTTAAAATATATTTATCATGTGTTCTGGTTCAGCCACAAGTTAAACTGATAAAACCGGTTGAACATTGGACTTTGACCACTCTCATAAATAGTTCTTCAATTGAATCAGTAATCAAAACATTGCTTTTCCAACTGTAACAGTTCAGTGCTAAAATATACAGTGCAACAGTGTCATCAAACACACCCTAATTCAACATTTGAATAAAGGAAAGACATATTCAGAACCTTAAAGGGGACATACTTTATCTGTTATTTTACCTGTAAAAGACCAGAAGGTAATCTAAAATTAACAATTTACATTTATTAATGATATACTGAGAAAAGAAGACATGCATATCTATATGATATGCCTTTATAACAGGAAGACATTTGCAGTTGATTGGTCATTGCAAATCAACTTAGAGTAACTAGAAATGTTTATACATGACAGAATAAAAGTATAAATTACAGATCTAGAGAATTATTAGTTACCATGTAGGTGTTGGCAGGATTTATGAGTGACATAACATGACTAGTTTCAAACACCAGGTCTGATAAGTCAGCATCAATCTCCACAAGTCTCCACCTACAATTATAGCGAAATTTCAACTGAACATGATAGTCATAGATGCAATAAAAGATATTTTGACATAGCACGTCCAATAGGTGCATGATCACAACAGTATAATTGCATAAGAGTCCAGAATGACAAACAATATAAAAAAAAGTGTTACGTAATTAGTAGTTAGTTGATTAGGCATGCTGCCTATAAATAAGTAGAAGGGATGTGAGGGGAAATGGCTTGTGAATTGAGAGAGGATTGGGGCCTTTGGGCATTGACAGAGAATCAGGTCTCTCAAATACCTGGATTGTACTAAAATTTCTGTTAATACAGTCTTTATTCAATATCTAAACCAGTTTCTATCAACTGGAAGGAGTTACATCAGTTGCAAACAAGAAAAGTTGTGGGAGGGTCGTAATGTAGTGTTGTCAAATAACAGCCATGGCGGTACCATAGTGGATGACGGTGATTGTTTTCGCCCAAATGGCCACAACCATGACGGAAAATGGCAAATTTATGATGGCGGCCATGGCGGAAAATGTCAGTTTTTGAGGAAAAAAACAAAATGGACCTCTAACCCAACCCAATCCAAAGTGACCCAAAACCATACTTATCGATAGCACCACTATCGGTTGGCACTATCATGCCACCATGGAGCAGCAGACAGCTGCAAAATACTTGCTGTTGTGGAGTGTTTCTTTCCGTCACACAGGTTGAGCCTAATTGTAGATGAATTCTTGGTGTGGGTGCGCATTTTCGTAGCAAGTGGTTCCAAACCGAATACAATTCAGATTTATTTGGATCTATTGGGGGTGAGGAATAGTAATTTTGGGTGCAAGAAAGTAGAAAAGAAGATAAGAATCTTGAGAGAAAAGAACCCAAAGCTTGGAGACCAAACACAAAAGCAGAAAAATGTGTACCTGTCCAAGAAATGTATAAGAATCATGTGAGCCAGAAATCTTGGAACCAAAGACAAACAAAGAGGAAGAAATTCAACTAAAACAAGTTCACATTTTGGGTCAAGAACCAAAAACGATAGAGTTCAATGGATTGGGACAAACGGTCGAGATAGAAAGACAATTGGGTACTGTGAAGGTCTGAGAAAATTGTTTTTGTGAAAGGAGATCATCATTTGAGTGGTGATGGAGAAACACATGCAACATCATTGGGGTAAATGAAGAAAGGATGATAATGAACCATGATTTGCCAATAAAACCTTGGATTCTTAGTACATTTGCAGAGGCAATGATGCTTTGTTTGAGGGCTAAGAATACAAAAGAAAACAAAGCTTTGGGAGAGATTGATTGCAACTACTTGTTGTGTTTGACCCAACAGGGATTGAGGCTAATTTGTAATTACAATCTTGAAAGCATTTTAGGAATTACAATCTTGAAAGCCTTAGTAGCAAGAATACAGGTAAAGTATTCATGCCTGGTACAGATACAGGTATTAAGACTTGGTTGATTATCATTCAATCTGAAATTAGGCTGCAGTCATTTCCAGTCAACCCACAACATCGATCTCACTAGAAATATATGTTTCATACCATATTCAATGCCCATAAAATTAGGTAAAAGTCAATATTGACATACGGCTTAAATTTAAAATTATTCAATATGTACTTGCCCAACATACTTAAATTTATGTCTAGTGTTTAATGTAAAAAAAGGTAAAAGATGTCAATTTTTATACTCAAGTCAAAAAATGAAGGAACATAGAAAAGTAGAAAGAAACAGGCCCTTGGATTGCATACCTCCTGAAAGGTGCAACTCTTCTTAGCTCTATCAACCCTGCCTTGGCAGATTTTCTATCAGGAGCTAACTGGCCATCAAAACTTACATTAAGCAAATCAATTTCATCTGCCAATTCAAAAAAGTTTTAGAAAATCAGCTTAACTGAAGGTTCCCAAAGTAAAACATGTCAACTCAACAAACTCAACTAGTTCTCCCACTTTTTATGTGTTTCAAAACCAAACAAGGAAAAAGAACTAATTAAGATTCTACCAAATAATCAGTATAATAACAGGTAAATTAAGTGAATTTGAATGCACTCACAGCTGGGATCCAGGCATTTATCCAATAATGCTGCAAGTATCATAGAGTCCAGGCCACCAGAGAAAAGAATTGCCACAGGAACAAATTTCTCTTGTCTGATACCAGATACCACTGCCTATGCCATCAAATCCAAAGAGTTCTACCATGAGTTATGAAAATATAAATAACATGTAACAGCAAGAAACAAGGACAGCTCAAGAATACATTCAAAGGTCGTCCAAGGCAATGGCATTCAAGAGTACAAATTCTTTGCATAATAAAGATTTACAAAAGAGATCAAGAAGCAAATGCATATGCTAAAGACTGCAAAACATATAGAAATTCAGCGTAATAAAGTGCTTTGGTTATTTATGATTTACTGTCAAGGGCTATCAGTCCAGCTTAGTAAGGTGCTTTGGTTTTCACAACACCATGTGATGTAATCCATCCAGTGGAACTTCACTATGATGTAACCATTCAGGAAGTAAAGCAAAAATTCCCATGTGACAATTACATTAAGTCAGAGTCAAAAACTGTTGCCAGACAAGCCAATGTGTGTAGGCATAGACTCACAGCACCGGTTGAAGCTAACAAGTAATATAATTAGACTCAAATGCATTCATCAAAAAGCTAAGAGACATTGATAGAAAACACAATCAGAAAAGAGAAAGAAAGTATGGAAGAGATACTCTGATATATGTATATTGCTGTATGAATAAGGAAATGTGAAAGATTGCACTAGCAACAGTAAACGAAGAACAAAAGATAGTAACTCAGGAGAGCACCACGCTCCCCTTCCCAAGCCACAATGGCCGCTAGATCAAAATGAATATTCTCTGCCTTTCCCTGATTCCTTCCTCTCACCTATAACCAACTCCCCTACCTCCCATCTCTAGTGGGCCCCAAAACAACCCACTCAGCCTAACTGACTAGTCCTCCCTTTTTAAACACGTGTCACCCTTTTACCTCTCCTGGAGTATACTTTCCAGGTCTTCTCTCCCTCACGTATCTGCTGCCCGGGTATCTCACTGTTAGCTGGGCTCACGAATGTATGGGCCGTATCACTTGCCACCCCCTGAGGAACAGTCTTGTCCTCAAGACTGAAAGAAGGAAATTGGTTACGCATGACAAAATTTTCCTCCCATGTAGCCTCTTCAGCTGGACGTCCTCTCCATTTAATCAGCCATTGAGCCACAGCAGTCCCATCTTGCAGCTGAGTTCTTCCAGCCAGAACTGTTTCTGGTTCGATACCCTCCTGTATGTCTATTTCAAGACCCGAGGGTAGAGCTGCTTCCACTACTCGATTCCCCACAGCTTTCTTCAACTGAGAAACATGAAAAACTTGATGAACTTTGGACGATGGGGGTAGATCCAGCTGATACGCAACAAGGCCAATGCGTCTAAGGATAGTGAAAGGACCATAAAACCGAGCAGAAAGCTTCTGGTTAATACGCTGAACCACTGAATGTTGCCTGTGTGGTCTGAGTTTTAAGTAAACCTGGTCCCCTTCTTGAAAAGAGACCTCCCTCCTATGTGAATCTGCTTGTTTCTTCATATTCTGTTGGGCTCTAGACAAATGATACTTAAGTTGATTCAAAGCCTCATCCCTCTCGATCAAAGCCTGAGCTACTGCTGCCACTTTGGTCTCACTGGGTGCGAAACTCAGAACCGAGGGCGGTTTCCTACCATAGACCACCTCAAAAGGTGTGGTGCGGATAGAGGAATGCCAGGCAGTATTATAGCACAACTCAACCCAGGGTAACCAGAATGTCCACCCTTTTGGCTGTTCTCCTACAAAACAGCGTAAATACGCCTCCACATAGCGATTGGTAACCTCTGTCTGGCCATCCGTTTGAGGATGGTATGAAGAACTCATCCTAAGCTTTGTCCCATATAGTTGGAATAAAGCTGTCCAGAAATGGCTCAGAAATATCGGATCACGATCACTGACTATCGACTTGGGAATCCCATGGAGCCTAACCACTTCCCTTATAAATACTTCAGCTACCCCTTTTGCAGTAAACGGATGCTTCAGGCAAATAAAATGGGCATACTTTGAGAGCCTGTCGACTACTACCAAAATGACATCGAACCCCTTAGACTTAGGTAAGCCAGTTATGAAATCCATGGATAAGTCATCCCACACTACCTCTGGAATCTCCAAAGGTTGCAGCAAGCCAGCTGGCGACAGTGTAGAGTACTTGTAACGTTGACAGATGTCACACTCTTGGACATAGCGCTGGACCTGTTTTTTCATTCCCACCCAGTGCAGATTTTCAGCTAATCTGCGATAGGTCCTATAATATCCTGCGTGGCCGCCTTGTGGAGAGCTATGAAATTCATCCAACAACTTAACAATCCAGGGAGAGTTCGCAGGTATCACCAGTCTTCCTTTATACAATAAAACTCCCTGAGTATAAGAGTACCCAGCCTTAGCATTAGCACCCGACTGTATTGCAGCAATGATCTTTTTGAGATATGGGTCTTCTTGCACCCCTGCTGTCAAATCTTTTCCTTCTACCCACAGTGGAAAAGAATTGATCATCCTCAATTCTACAGGCTCATCGCAACGAGATAGTGCATCAGCCGTTGTGTTCTCCTTTCCGGGTTTATATTTAACGTCAAATTGATACCCCAATAACTTCGCAATCCAGCATTGTTGGTCAGCAGTGGTAATTCTCTGCTACAATAGAAATTTCAGGCTTCTATGATCAGAATAAACCACGAATTGTCTTCCCAGTAAGTATGGACGCCAATGCTGTATGGCTAAGACTAGTGCCATGATCTCCTTCTCATATGTAGACTTGGACAAACTCCTGTCAGCTAGTGCTTTACTAGAATAGGCGATAGGCCTGCGATCTTGCATGAGCACAGCCCCTACTCCCCTGCCCAATGCATCGCACTCTACCGCTGCCAATTCTTCATACGGGTTCTGCACTTCGAGCCCACTAAACCTCTCCAATAATTCCTCTTTGAACGTGGTCCAATTCAGCCCCGAGTGTATCTCCATTAGTATAGTGAACCAATGGATCGCGGTTCCGCTCATGCTCACCTGAGCCAAAGGTAATTTCGATTCCTCGGGAGTCTGATGCACGCGAAAATAGAGCTCAGCTTGAATCAGCCATCCCCTCGGGTCGGTGCCGTCAAACACCGGTAACTCCACGCGCCTGGCCACTGTGAACAGGTTGTCTAGAGTCCCCGCAAGGTTGTCCATAGTGAGAGCGTCTCTGGTCGACCGTTCCTTCTCTCCGTCCCTCTCCGTGCGGTTTTCCGATTCGGCGGTCACAAGTGATTCTGGCGACTCTTCGTTCTGCGGCATCTTCTCCAGTCTCCGTACCAAACTCGCAATGTATTTGCGGAACTCAGCCTGCTCCTTCATCTCTTGCTCCAGGCGTTGTTGTACCTGGTTGACGACGTTCGCTGCTGCCGACAACTCCGACAACGTCCTTTCTACCACCCCCAAACGCTGGTCCATCGCCTCCAACCTAGCTTGATTTCGCGTTTCCATCTCCTCCGTCACGTTTATATCCGACAGGTCGGACCAAATGATAGAAAACACAATCAGAAAAGAAAAAGAAAGTATGGAAGAGATACTCTGATATATGTATATTGCTGTATGAATAAGGAAATGTGAAAGATTGCACTAGCAACAGTAAACGAAGAACAAAAGATAGTAACTCAGGAGAGCACCACGCTCCCCTTCCCAAGCCACAATGGCCGCCAGATCAAAATGAATATTCTCTGCCTGTCCCTGATTCCTTCCTCTCCCCTATAACCAACTCCCCTACCTCCCATCTCTAGTGGGCCCCAAAACAACCCACTCAGCCTAACTGACTAGTCCTCCCTTTTTAAACACGTGTCACCCTTTTACCTCTCCTGGAGTATACTTTCCAGGTCTTCTCTCCCTCACGTATCTGCTGCCCGGGTATCTCACTGTTAGCTGGGCTCACGAATGTATGGGCCGTATCAGACATCCCCACAGCTGAATATGTCTTTAGTCTTAAGAATATATAAACTGATAAGAACACATGCTAGCCATGATGTTAGCCAAAAATCATAGATATATCTTATCAGTGACATACAAATACAGAACTTGTAATCCGGTTTCAACTAAGTGGCATACCTGATAAATAGTATACAATGAAGTACGCCGTAACACAGATTCCTTTAAAGCATTTAGCAAAATATGAGCTGGCCATGGAATTGCATGTTGAATTGATCCTGATTAATCAAGACAAACACATGTCACAGCCTAGGAAGACTTAAAGCTACACAGACTTTCCAAATAATGCTAAAAGCCAAAGGGACTAGAATGTTCCGAAATATCAATTAAAGCATTGAATAAGTAAGAGGATCATTATGGCACTAGTATATGTTAACCACCTGTTTCACTCGAAACTGCCTCAAAAGAAGTCAGATGCCTATCATGTTTCCACCTAGAACTCTTATGACAAGATGTCTGCAGGTCTTCAGAGCTTGGTTCAACAGAAACTCTCTCCCACTTGATAAGTTCATTTAACATTGAGTTTTTATATTCATGTAGCTTGATTTCACCAACCAGATATCCACATGAATCTGAAGCATCCACATGCACACTATATATTCCACATGGTAGCTCTTCCCAGTAACTAAGACATCCTATTCCATTATGAGCTTCATACTCTGCAGCAAATTAATATTAATAGATCATATGTTTCAAACTTTAATTTACAAATTCAAGAACTCACATACCTAACTACAGTTTTAACAGACCATGCCAGCTTATTTTAATGTGTTAAAACCAGCGGGTTTTTTTTTTTTTTTAATCAAACCAGTACATCCAGCTTGTGCTATTTTTTTATCAAACTGTATTCTTTGTTCAATTGTTCAGACTGCTGTCTACCTAGCCCCTTATTTAGTCCTTCACTAGTCCAGGTTTACAACTATGCAATAACTAACAGCAAAATCCAAATAATATCCAGGGAGTATAAACCAACTCTACAAAGTAATATTAGAGATATAAAATCAATCATGAGCTTTCACCTAACAGCTTGAGATTTATGCAGCAGAGTTGGTCCTTCACAACTAAGAACATAGGTTAGAAAATGGTGGCTGAAAAATATTTAAAGGAGTTATATTTAACATTTCTTAAAGAATACATGTATCAATTAATCAGAAATTTCTATGAACATACAAGAGAGATAGCTTCACCAAACTAGAATGAAATATGTTAACTTATAGTACAGTTCACATATTGAAAGCTGCAAAACCTCATGTAAAATTTTAACCTGAACTACCACGTACAATAGAAGATCCATGCCCTACAACATAAAACCAATGAAAAAACAGACAGAAAAAGAAAGGGGGAAAATGAGAGAAAGTGAGTTTAATAACAACATTTTTATCCCCTAGCAAAATTCTGTCATTGCTCTCTCTCTCTCTCTCCCCCCAAGCCTTTCATATATTGTTGCATAATTCTCAATAAAAATTTCATAGAAGTTCCAAATTTATCAAATAGGTGCTCGGTTTAACCCTCAAAATATGGTATAGCTTAACTAAATTTCAAGTTGCAAAGATGTGTTTGAACTCAAACAATTAGCTTATCTTGTGATAGGCCTCTCATAATACAGATCTATAAAAGAAGAGAAAGGCCCAACATGTGAGTGATCACTGGGCTTTTCGTCAGAGGGTGCACTTCTGCTGCACTTTTTTCTAACTGTAAGATTATAGTTTTTCTCTTTACCTCCATTTCCTATCTGTTTAAAACCAGTCTCTTTCATATTGAAAGAACAGAATGCTGGCGTCATTCAAGCAGCACCAAATAAGGAAACACAAAATCTCCTAAAAACAGTCAAAGCCATTTTGTGTGCCTTTCCTAATGGCATTGACATATACATCCATATAAAGACCATATGAAGTACATAGCTTAAAGTACATTCCCCCCAGCACTAAAATACAAGTGTCAATAGTTTACTAAATGGCAATATATTCTATTCAGATGACTCTGGTTCAGAAGAATTAAACCATAAGAGCAAGATGACTACAGCTGTTTCATGTATTACATACCAGAGGCCTGCTGAACTGGAGAAACAGGTGATACAGAAGAAAGCAGAAAGGTTGAGTCATCTTCGGTAGGCCAGTGAACAAGGAGGCTCCGTCTTCCAAATGCATCTCGGCCAAACCAAAGGGTTCGTGAAGTATCCTAAAAAAGACAAAAAGAAGCACAACCTCTGACACCGTGCAGAAGGAAACAATACTTCAAAAGATTTGAAACACAAAGAAACTTACCACTTGGGGTTACCTGCCAATAGATGATAGCCCAGGGTCCTTGAATTGTAGAAAGAACATCTGGAACAGAACTTTTCCCACCTATAACACAGTGATCAGTTGAACAAGAACCACAGGAGCAACACTTTCCTAAAGTCTGCATGAGAAACTCAGTATCATTGCAATCACCAGCGAGGTCAAGTCCTCCAAAAACCTCACCTAGAGAGCACAACAGAAATTAAAATCCAGAATGACTTATCAATATAAGGGCAAAACTAGAGAAATGCACACTGCAAACCACACAGACAAACAGAAAGACATTTCACACCTTAAACGCGTAGTCGTTGAGACATGTTCATGCCTCATAGGCTCATACAGATACAGCAATACAAACATTACACATCATCCGTGATGAACATATTGAACAAATAGTTAGATTGTATATTATTTAACTTTAACCTAGCAAAAATAATATTTCAAACTCACCATTCACTTATTCACCGTAATTAACCACCGCCATTTATCTGTTTCTGGTTCTAATTATATTACATGCCATTTCCATGTTCATTTTTTCGAAACAACCATCATTCCACGGCAGGAACAAAGCTAAAACTCTAACATCTGAGAAAGTAGCACACAATACCATTATACACAAGAACATTTCCAGAATCATCCGCCAGTGGCTGAACAAGCGGTTTAGTTCCCCGGAGCTGCAGAGTTGCACCGACGAAATGAAGTTCCGCGGTTCGAATCGCAAAATGGTGGCATTCTCCGTCGATGTCTTTGTTTCCGGAACATGACACGTCATCATCGTCTTCCGTGAAGGATGAGATTCGGTTTTCACCTGATACGTTGAATTGCAGAAGAACCTTCTTGGCGCCCAAGCTATCGGGACCCCTTCTCCGTAGAGCTGCTTTGAGATCATCTAAAGAGAACAACAACTGCACCAGAAAAGAAAAATAAAGTAAATATAAAAGGGCTTCAAAAATGAATGGTACAAGTTGTTATGTGCTTCAGATTTCGGCCATTTTAATAGGGTAAGATTTGTGCTTACTTTCTCAGTTTTGCGAAGTGGACTTGTTGAATCGAATGCCAAAGATGAGATGTCAATCCGAATGCCTGAGACAATCAAAGCAATTCCACACATCTTCCTCTCTGCTTGCAATTGCAGAGAGTGTGGTTTTAGTAGGGTTTTGACTTTGAGTTGGCTTGCTGGTCCTATTCGTCTAAATTGTTCTAGTTAAAATTGAATGTCAACATTTGCTTCCGTAGCATAGTGGTAGTGCGTTCGCTTCGTAAGCGAAAGGTCGTGAGTTCGATCCTCGCCGGGAGCTTGGTGTTTTTTATACGAGAGTCATCACACATCACTTGTGATTTCCTGCAACAATGTCTAAAGACTGGAGATAAACATGAATTATTTTAGCATTTTTAACTTTTTTTAAAAAAAAAAATTGACTCTCTTGATAGAAGATAGTTTTCATGATGATATTTCTAAATATCTAACATAACGTTTATTAAAATGTTATGAAATAATATCTTCTTCAACTAGAAAATTAATTAAAAAGCAAGAAATTTAATTTTACATAAAAACTTATAATACATGTGGCATAAAATAAGAAAATAAGTATAGAAGAACATAAGTACAAACAAGCTATTAAACGTAACGAAATATTTTTAAAATCCAACTAAAATAATTTCTTATTGTTTAAATAACTTTCAAAATCTGTAACAATTGAAGTTTTTAATCATTTATATTTTTATTTTCTGACAAAATATTCGCCTATCAATTAAAATATATTTTCTTCAATATTTTTAATTTGTATTTTTACATTTCATACCTATTTAACTTAAAATATTCTTATAATATACAACATATTTGCTTCCATTCTTCAATTATTGTATGTCTTCCTTCACTAATTTTCGACTTAAAATTATGTAAATTCTTCATGTAATTTGTTTTCAACGAGAATGAGAGCATACTTGGCAATAGTTGTTTTGTCTTGGTTTGAACTTCTAAGCTTTATTATTTTAAGAATTCAAATATAATAAAATGTTGCCTTATTATATTATAGGTTAATAATGCATTGATCAGTGTAACATCATAATGAATTGATAAATAACATTTTGATGATTAAATAATAAATATATTTTATGTTTCCCCTATTTTTTTAAAATGTCCTTTTTTACTTAAGGTGCATCTAAGATGTGTATCATTTACACAAATTTTATGAATTTTTTGTGTAATTTCTTTCTACATGCATTTTATGCTTTTTTAAATATTACTACTGTTTACGGTAAAAAATGACAATTGTAAACAAACAATCCAAAGATCAATCTGGAGACTGGATTTAGGTCCTCTTTGGGTTTTTTTAAGTGTGTTGTTAACGTGATGCTCAAATTAACGGCGTAAAAGAGTATTAAGCAAGAATAGTGAATAATAAATGGGCAGAATTGAATCAAATGTAAATGTTCTTTACAGAAAAACGCTAAATAGGAAATGAATTGCAATAATTGAAATAAGCATCAAGCTGGAATTAAAATGCGGAAATGTAAATGCAAGAATGTAAAGGTGCGTGAATGTAAACGTACGACTCCTAGCAATGAACAGCAGCAACCGTTATGTCTCTTTGTAGTTGGTGTCTAGCGCGGTGCAGGGTTTCAGCGTCTCAAAGAGTTTAGGTGCGGTGTCGGGGTGCAAAAAGTCGTCCTTTGTGAAATGGTGCTTTGGAGTATTTATAGACATGAAGATCACTACAGTTTTCCTCCTTTTGCAGGCACTTCTTAGTAACTGCCTTCAACTGTTGATGCTCACTATCCACGATTGCTTGTGATCGTGCTGTTTGTTGGAGCTTTTTTCTTAACCGCTATCGCCCATGATCTCCTTTGCGTAGTGGTGAATGTTAATAACTACTGGTAACCGCTTTTGGATTTTTCAAGACTCCTATCTTTCGAGTATTTCTGAGAGAAACCTAGGAGACTCCTTTAATATTATGACCTTAGAATAATTTCTTCTTGACTTCTCTTTTCGAGCCATTCTGGAGTTTTGAGAGTTTGTCTTGGTCTTGTAGACTTAGAACATTTTCTTTGCTCATTTCTGTTTTTCGAGCAATTCTTGAGGGACTCTGGAGCTTGACCAGATTTGTGGACTTAAAATATTTTCTGACCACTTCTTATTTTTCGAGCAGTTCTAGAGGAAATCTGTAGCTTGGCTAGGTTTGTGGACTTAGAATGTTTTCTGAACACTTCCTATTTTTCGAGCAGTTTTGGGTGTCAGAGACTTGAAAACTCCTCAAAAACTCCTCGAAAAGCCATCAGTTTTTGTGGACTTAGAATATTTTCTTGTTAATCCTGTTTTTCGAGCAGTTTTGGGTGTCCGTGACTTGAAAACTCCTCGAAAAAAGCCTTTAGTTTTGTGGTTTTAGAATATTTTCTTGTCTTTCAAGCAGTTTAGAGAAAAATTAACAATGTGACAAAAATCTCATAAAATAGCTCAAAATGTGTACCTTTTAATTAAAACTAAAGATCTTAGATAATCTTCCAATATTCTCTTATGTTCAGGCTTATCTTTGTCTCCTTCTTGACCCCCAAAACTTGTTGAAATGTAGTTTCCTTTAAGATAATTTTTAACTTAGAAAATTTTAATTATCCCAAACAGATGCCCCCTAAAATATTAATATCTCAGGTTTATGAGATTTTAATATTTTTTATTTTGATATTTAATTGAAAATTTTTCATTTTCTAATTTTCCCGCCATTTCTTATGGCGTTTCTGCCACTTACCTGCTTTATGTCAGGCACATCATCTAAAGTCGGCGCATTAAATGCAAGTACTGCCTGGCAGTTACCGAAAATGTCCCATTATTGAGACGTGCTCCATTCTGTTGAGGATTTAAGGCCATTTTAGATCGAAAAGACACCTCACTATCTCTTCATCTTCCCACTAAGTGCCAAAATACTCTGGACTTGGGCTTTTGTATAGGCCTTGCACGAGATTGGGGACCAGTATAAAAAGCGAAGTTACCTTCTCATTTTTTCACGCTTTCGTTTTTTACTCTCCTACTTAGAGCTCTGTTCTCTCTCTTCTGCTTCTTTTTGTGTCGAAATTTCTTCTGGTTCATCCCCATCTTCCCTATTTCTCTTCGAAATGGCCTCCAAGTCTGAGGTTCCCTCTGCTTTTTCCAGTGCTGAGCTCGTGCCTCTGGGTCATTCGAGCTACCTTCCTGAGCCACCTCTCGAGGAGGAGAAATTGGCTATTTGGAAATCCCAGGTACTTATTCCCTTTTCATTAGGCTCGAAACCTCATGCATTTTTAGGTCCTTTTGTTCCCCAGCCATCTGTCGAGTCTTCTTTTTCTGCTGATGGGGTCTTGGCATTCTCTTCCAAATATAACTTGGATTCTCTCGAGAATGCCCAAAAAATATTTAGAACTATGCCTCTTGTAACCAAAGACTTATATTTGCCTTGGTTAGATAGAGTTGAGGGTGAAAAACAAGATAGTTGGAGGGCCATAGGAATCTATGATATCATTCAATTGTCTAGGTACAATCTGTCTTACAACTTCCCTATGATCATGAGTTCTCTTTTCTTCTGGGATCGAGCAACTAGCTCTTTCCACGTGCCTTGTGGTATGATTACCCCAACTCTTTTCGATGTTGCTGCCATTCTTGGGCTTAGGCCAACTGGTCCTTCGTTTCAACCAGATTCTCATCCAAAAAACCCTGATGTGACGCCCAACTTCCAAAAGCTTTCTTACCAACTCTTCATAACCTTGAATATGAATCGAGATGGTCCTGTTACGGATGAAGAGCATGTTGCTTTCCTGATGTTGTGGCTTTCTGCCTATGTTTTTTGCTCGAGATCGCTCCAAGTGCCAAAGACACTACTCACTTTGGCGCAATTGCTGCACGAAGAGTCTTCGATATGCCTTGGGAAACTTATATTAGGAAACTTGTATGAGAACTTAAATGAAGCAGTGGCTTCATTTAGATCTAATGACTTTCCTTCAGTCATTAGTGGGCCCTTTTGGCTACTTCAGCTTTGGTTGAATGCTATTTTTGAAGAAAAGTTACAAAGCTCTGAGCCACCCAATATCTCTCGAGAGATTGAGGGTTTTCGTTTAACTTTTTTGACTACGAATGTAGCAAAAAAAACATTATTGTAATGCTTTTAGGCAATATTTCAACTTTTTCTTATCTCTTCAATCTCTTACTCCTCAACTTTCCCCTTTTTCTGCTCGAAAAATAGGGCCAATTTGGTTTAAACGCCCTTGCCTTCGAGAACACCAAGTGCCCAATCTGAGGTTTTGATGACATGGAGACAATTTCTTTCATGTCAACTTCTTTTTTGTAGTTTCACCCCGAGGCCTTATCATGTGGTCACCTATCAACCAAACCTTGTAGCTCGACAATTTGGCCTTAGTCAATTAATGTCTGCGTTTATGTTAGATGCATCCAGCCATGAATTCTTAGAAAATGCTCGAAATAGCATTGAAGACTTAAATGAGGCCATAAGTTTTTTCCGCAAACGTAGGCCTGAGATTTCATCTTTTGAATTCGAGCCATCGCTCTATTGTACCCATGCTTTCCAGAGTTGGTGGTCCAATTACTATAATCATCACGAAATTTCTGTCGAGGCGTGCAACCAGAAGATGACTTCTGCTTTTTCTATGTTTCAGAAAGGGGATCCAAAGGCCAAGACGAGAGGTACGCACATTCGAGAAATTCAATCTTTTGAGCGATTTTTTAAAGTTATTTACTTACCACAAAGAATATCTCAAACCATTTTTGAAGCTGCCATTTCTTTAAGAGAGAAAACCAAAGAAAGAGTAAATAAATATAAGGCTTTTCATCCTTTTGACCAGTTCATAGAAGATATTCTTTTCAAAAAATTTTGACTAACTTTTTCCCCTTTACCAAACTGTAATTTTGCTCTGGCCTTACCCATTATTTCACCTAAATGGGTCGATTTACCTTCGACTCTTTTGAATGAATTATCCCCTCCTCGAAGTAAAATAACAGCTTCGAGATTTTCTTTTAAAACTTACCCTTACCCACTTCACCTTGATATTCGAGATGTGAGAATCCTTACAAAGTTTAAAGATGGTAAGGTTTACCCTACTTTTTCTCGAAATGCCTTTCTATATT